CGGTCGAAAAGGGTGATCAAGGGATTTTAGATGAGCATTAGCAGTCCTGCAGCCGACTATCCCTGCACCCCAAGACCTCAGCTCCGGCCTTAGTGTGCAAATGCGCATGGCTTGGAAAGAAGCGGGCAGAACATGGCAAAACGAACTCTGGCAATATCGTGGTCCGCCAACCCAGATCTCCCATATCCAACCCGGACTTCAGTCTAGTCAAAGTTTATACGTAGCGCCGTATCCGGGATTCGGAGAACCTGCTCAGCGACTGCTCCTACTCCTACTACTGCTCTTGCTACCTCCCAGCTGCTAACTACCGCCTGCGACCTGCTGCCTGTGCTGCTGTTGCTGTGGCTGCTGCTGCTGTCGTCGTAGTAGTAGTAGGTACCAGCAGCAGTAGCAGCAGCCGTGCCGTAGTCGTAGAGTGGCAGTGGTAGTTGTCGCGGCAGCGGTAGCGGTAGTGGTATGCTGCTCCTGATTCTCGTCCTCGTCCCCTGGCTGTGTATTCCTGCCACTGCTACTACTACTACTACTACTACTACTACTACTACTTCTACTACTACTACTACTTCTACTTCTACTACTACTACTACGACTACTACTACTACTACTACTACTACTACTACTACTACTACTACTACTACTGCTACTGCTACTACTACTACTACTACCACTACTACGACGACGTATGGCCACTACTACTGCTGCTGCTGCCGCTGCCGCTTCTGTTGCTGCTGCCACTACTACCACCACTACTCCTCCGCCAACCCCGACTCCTACTCCAACTCCTACTCCTAGTCCTACCCTACTCCTTTCTGCTGCCGCTACCGGTACAGCGACTGCCACTGCCACTGCTGCCAGCAGGATCGTTGTAGTAGTTGTTGTGCTGGGTAGCTTCCGTAGCCGTGATGCAGGAAGCCAGGTGTGGCCGCACCATGTCTTTGGGTTTGGCGGCTTTGGCTGGTGCTGCAGAGGTCGGCCGGGCCTAGTTCCTCTGGAAGCGCCAGGTTTGTGGTTGGATGCGATGATGCGATGAACAGCTGGCACTGCGTGTTTTGCATTAGGGCAGAACTGTAGGTGCCTGTGTGGGCGCTTGGTTGAACGCAGCATGTACCGACTGCAGTCGGAGTGTTGCTGTTCTTGGACGAATGTTGCCGGCTCGTCGTTGGCTTTAGAAGCCGTTTTTGTCTTGGCTTTGCAGCAGACTGCAAATTGGCGAAGGTCTTGCACCTCGATAGGGGGCACTGGGGTGGAGCTTCAATGCTTGATGGAAAGCAGCTGTAGTATCGTTCTGGACACAGGCTCTTATTATGTCCGCATAAGTGGAAGGGCATGTGAGACCGCAGCTCTGAAAGGGAAACGAATAGACGTCCATGCAGCTCCTTACTTTGTGCAGGCAGCTGGCCGCATGCGCAGAGAGTGTGGAAGCGAACGAGCCTGCTGCCAATCCCGCGTAGGCCTGCTTACTGTCCCGATCGTCGAGTACACGTCATGACTAGGTCATTGCTGCTAGTGAGGTGATATTACTGGGTTGTGCGAGCGGCCGTGAAAAGTTTCAAAACGTTGCGTTGAGCTGACGGCAGCCTCGCAGGTAGTCCCTTCGAGTTTGATTGCGACTGCGCGGCACCTGGTTAGTCCAAGCGTTCCGTGAGGTGGCGACGCTTGCAGCGCGTTGTGGACTCGACAAATCAAAATGAGACACATGAGCGGAAGCCGTCACACATCGATCTGCGTACTTGGAAATGTGGTTTGCGCCACGTTAGCAATCAAACCACAGGGTGCCGTGCAAGATGTTGCCTCCAGTAGAGGACGTAGAAATTGGAACTTTACTGAGGCACGGGAGAGTTTTTCCAGCAAAAGGCGAAGGCCTGTCGCCGAGGGCGCACACCTTGGGAAGGAAGGAAACATATTGATGTGGTTCCTAGAAGAGCCCGACCCCCTGAAATTAGAATTTTGAACGGCTTTGCAGAGGGACAGTGCCAGTTGCTTTCCGGAAGTCAGTGCCATCAACAACCTTCAATGTAAGTATAGCTGCACGACTCACTCGCTTAGCTGCAGGCCTTGCGAGAGTGTAAGCATGCTGCGGGTTTAATTGAGCGTCTTGCAAGTACACCCCAGAACCCAAAACTCGGGGGGCTGATTGGGGAGATGCTGTGGAGATCCCACGGCATAACATGCGCCAAGTCCAGCTAGACCCGTCTAAGCTAAGTAGTTGAGCGATGATGCATGACCTGCATACGAGAACGGAGATAAGATTGAGGCCCGTGTCGCTGTGCGTACCACCTAAATCAGAAACCGTTGTTGCGGATTTGTTGCCCGCGTCTTCAAATTCACAAACCGGAAACCGGAGATTGCTGGTACTGTGATATAGCTCGTGCCCACTGTTGTGCTCAGCGCGACGGATTCCGGGAGAAGCGCTGTGCCCGGTCAGCGCCCGAGGGGTGGCAAGGGGGAGCGCCTACAGGCTGATGCATTGCCTCTTACATGCTGTTGGTTTGCGCATCTTGCAACGAGGAGGCAACAAAGATGTGACTGGACGTTAATGAAGTGTGACCACCCTATGACAGTGGCAGGGGCCCGTGACATCCATAGGGCTCGGCACAGATCCAGCACATGATAATGTATCAGGTTGCAGCACACGGTCAGCGAAGGGCATGAAGAGGGTTGGGGTTCATTCTCAGAAGACACTGGCCGAATGACCAGCAGCTCCTATCCGAAGTTCAGCTGAATGCAGCCTGGTTATCATCGGGACCGGCCTGAACATCCACAGAGCAAAGCGCTCATGAGGCGTCCCATCTGCAGACAACCTGGGCTGAAGAACGATTGCTTAGGACAGTGATGCCGGCTAGTTCCGATATCGGAAGCCCGAAGGATGAAGCAAAAGGAAGGAAAGAACTACGCCCAGAACCAGGAGCCTCAAAAGAAGAACATGCTGCTAAACTGGCAGCCGCAACTCTCAACACCGTGAGCCCCTGACCCGGAACCGCGAACCCTAAAGCTGTAGCAGATCCTCGGCTGAGGTGGGCCTCCGGAATGCTGAAGGAGCTCGCGATTACTTGGACCATGATGTCGGAGGCCCCCAGCAAAACGAGAGCTTAGACCCCAAAGGCCAAGGTGTTCCAAAAAATGAAGCTCCTGGGCTGCAGATGTTGGCCTGCTTCGTAGTCCTGTTGACACCCTGCTTGCTCTGGTCATACAGATGGTAGGCAGCTTTGACTCAATGCTGTTCTTGCTGTTCTACAACTATAAGCAGGTTCTGTCGCTACTGTTGCTGTTTTTGCTCAAATCGGTTTTACTTCAAGCGTAGCTTAGGCTTGCCGATGCCACCATTGCTATCATGATAGCGTAACCCAAGCTGCTGGTGGTGGTGCTGCTGCTGCTGCTGCTGCTACTGTGCGCATTCCTGCTCCTGCTGCCGCTGCTGCTGCTGCTGCTGCTGCTGCTCCTACTCCTCCTACTCCTACTCCTCCTACTCCTACTCCTACTCACTAGCTACTAGCAATTAACTACTTGCTACTCGCTACTAGCTACTACTCACTACTACCCGCTACTTCTAGCTACTTCTGACTAATTGCTAACAATGATTGCTAGCTGCTACCTACTGACTACATCTACAACCCCCCACCACTACCATTGCGACGACGACTACTACTACTCCTGCTACTACTGCGACTACTACGACTACTACTACTACTACTACTACTACTACTACTACTACTACTACTACTACTACTACCACTAGCACTACCACTACCACTACCACTACCACTTACAGTACTACTACTACTACTACTACTACTACTACTACTACTACTACTACTACTACTACTACTACTACTACTACTACCACTAGCACTACCACTACCACTACCACTTACAGTACTACTACTACTACTACTACTACTACTACTACTACTACTACTACTACTACTACTGCTACTACTACTACTACTACTACTACTACTACTACTACTACTACTACTACTACTACTACTTCTACTTCTACTTCTACTACTACTACTACTACTACTACTACTACTACTACTACTACTCCTACTGTTGCTGCTGCTGCTGCTACTACTGCTGATGTTGCTGCTGCTGCTGCTAATGCTGCTACTGCTACTGCTACTACTACTGCTATTGCTACTGCTACTCAGAGTAGCCTACTCCTAGTACTACTGCTACTACCTATATACTACTGTTACGACGGCTCCGACGACGACTACTACTACTACTACGACGACGACTACTACTACCACTACCGGGAGACACGACTCTGCAGGCCGCTGGCGAATGCGGCGACAATGATTTTGCGAGCGCCCTTACTGCATGGGTGTAAGACTAACGAACGCTTCGATTCGTAGCTCGACAGGGTTGAAGGGACAGGAGCACTTGGCACAGCAACCGAAGTGAAGGCTCGTGAGATTTCGTCTAGATTCATCATGCTTGCAAGATGAGCATGTCTGCATTTCTTCCCTGGGATCTTCTCGACGGGTGGAGGCTCTCCTGGGTTTCAGAAAATGAGTGAGACACGAGAATTCCTGTCTAGAGCCTAAGTCTAAAATTCTAGATCTCGCATTTCAGTGCCCGCATGCGTTGCGGACACGGGCTGCAGAGATCATCGGCTGTGCTCCCTGCAGGCAATGCTTGCTCCCACTTCCTCGGTGGCACCTTTGCAGGGCTGTTCTTCTTTTCTGAGGCTGGCTTCAATACTCGAGCTCGCGGGCGTATGTCCATGCGTTGCAGACTGCTGAAATGGACGTGGGACTGAAGAGCTTGGCAAACTCTGCTGGTGCTCATTGAAGAAGTTTCAGACAGGGAGTGACGGGGGCTTGACTCAAAGGCTCAAAGGGCGAGCTTCATTAAGAGACATGTTTTCAACACTTTGGCGAGCAATAGCTCCCTGCTGCAGGCAATTAGCCGAATGGCCGTAAGGTGTAAAGCGCGGGCCCAAGCTTGCGAGCGTTTGCGATTTTCGCTTTGACCTGCCCAGCCATCGTTTGTGAATCATGATGCGTGGCATCGATTTGTCACTCACGATGTGGCATATGCGTCCCAGGACACACCGGACAGGCCCATCATCTACTTCGCTTGTTCCCAGGCCGGAGGTGTTGGAGCATGTGTGTGTGTGTGTGCGCAGAAGCCAACCGGCCTCAGAAGGCCCAAGCTGAAAGCCTTGTAAGCCGTGGAGAATTCGAAACCTCGGGTCGCTACAGCTGTGACATCACTGTCACTCCTCTAAAGCCGGGATGAAAGCATGCCATACAAGCTAGTCAGGACCTGGGCTTCATGGGCGAGTCCATAGACACCATGGCTGCGGCAATCGGGGCCTCTTGGCAGCTTTATCATCCACTACGTGGAAATTATCCTGCCGAGAATTCGGGAGGGGATGGATTCAGTTCCCACGGCCTCCGCCACATTAGTAGCATGGAGTCCAACATGAAGTCTCGGATAGCCAATAGCCAAGGCTTCCTTGCGGGACTGCGGCTATGGATTCAGCACAGTGCAGAGGAAATCTGGCTGGCTCGGTTTTGGCCGGCGCTACTTTCTGCCATGAGGCCTCAGATTCGCCTCCCAAGCTCGCAGAGGTGGCGAAGACGAGCTGCGAACGGGCACCCAAGCTCTCGGTTTCAGGCATCTTGTGCCCCTGAGGTTTTTAATCTTGGCTTGGCCCCAGTTGACACCCCGGCGATGCTCAGAAAATCGTTCCTTGATGCCTCCAAACTGGTGGTATAGTCATAGTCAGCTAGCTTTCTTGCTCGTTTATCAGGGGCGCTACGATCGGAATGCACGACCTGAACCATGCGATGGCATGGTCCGCAAGTGGTCGATTACGGTGCTAGCTAGCAGCTGCTTGCAAACGTGCTCTTCGTATACGCTAGCAGTACAATTACAACCCTACGCACTCCAAGAAGCACTTGCGGCATCCTATTTCGATCAGAACAATTACTTCAAGCACTCCTCACGTGCGAAGCACGAAGAGGTGCAAATCCCGAAGCCTGCCTGCCCACAGCCTGCGTAGCATTGCAGAGACACAAGCAGAAGGAGGAACCCCCAGGATTCAATATGGGAGTTTCCGAAAATTAGGGGTACCTTTGTTTGGGGTCCTTATAATAGGGATCCTAGTACTTCGGGTACTGCAAAAAGGGTCCCCGATTTCAGGCAACATTCTTCTCTTAACGGATGTGGGCCCACGGTGGGCAGCCATCTTGCAGTTTTTGTCGGAGTTCCTGGAGGTCCTGCGAAGATCTCACCTAATATAGGGGCCTAAATAATTACCTATACTATTTTGGGGGGTTCCTTGTTATAGTTACAGTAAAATGGGCCCCAAAACCCTATTCTAATTATTCAGGCCCCTATACTACGGACCTGAAGGGCCTAAAGGGAGATTCCGCCTTGCACAGTCGGGCAGAATAGCCGCGGCTGCGTACTAGAGTTTGCCTCCTCTTCACGAGGTAAATATAGGGACCTCAACAATTGCTTATTGCAATTGTAGTATACTGGGCCCAAAACCCTATTCTAATTGTTATAAGGCCCCCATGTTATCGAAGATAATAGTAGTATAATGGGCCCCTATAAACCCTATTCTAATTATAAGGCCCCCATATTATCGAAGAGGGGTCAAGCGTCAAGCACTCCGAGAACCGACCTGATGAGGTCGGCTCCCGTGCGGTTGAAAAGTTCGCCACGAGGGGGGCTCCCCAGGATTCACCACGAGGGCTCTGCAACAGATAGGGGACCCTAATGTAGTGCCCTAAATAGTAGGATCCTTCTTATATGGTCCCCAAAATAAGGATGCATCGGTACAAGCTTTGCTGAGATGTTGTTGCGGTTGCTGGTGACGGTGATGCTGCAAAGTGTCAGAGCCGTTACAGCTCGCTCTGTATAAGCTGCAGAAGTGTTCTACCGGCACGGTATGAGCAACATGCTTCAATCAAGCCACAGTATGTTGTACTACGGTTCAAACTCGGCTGGAACTGTAGCCCACTTGATGCAGACATTGCCTATATACCTCAAAGACGGTAACTACAGTTGCTTTGGGCAACCTGCTGCCAAGCTTAGTACTGTGGCCTGCGCAAAGCCGACAAGCCTTTTCAAGCCTGCATTCGTTGGCTGACGTCCTGCCATGTGCGGAGATTGCAACTAACTACCTTCCGGGAGGGGCACCCGGCCTGCTTTGATAGCAGCTGAGTTTGGGATGTTAAATGTTTCGGGCTCCGGGGTTTCAGGGTTGAGCGAGGGTTTCAGAGCTTAGGCTTCAGAGTTCGGGAGAGAGCAGACAGTGTATGAACAGTCCATGCGCAGAGCTGTCGAACGGCAGGAGGCGATGGATTCCGGCTCGGCAGCGCTTGTGCGGCCAGGGACGCGGCCGGTGACATTTAGTATTGAACTCGCAGTGCGATGCATGACTCTGAGGAGCTGCCGAAGCATGAAGGATAAGGGCCTTCTTCATTTAAGCCACCATCCCTTGCCTTGACCTGGCAGGAAAGAGGTGCTCTAGTTTCATCCTAGACTGCGTTGGAAACTCTATGTAGCTGTGCCACTGCCGTGACGAACGCAACAGCGGCTATCTTGCACGTAACATAGCAACTAATTAGCTAAAAATGTCATACAACAACCATTTTAGCACTAATCACTCTGCTTTCCGGGACGTCGAGGCTGGTTGCTTCAGCCATCGGCGCAGGTGTTGCAGAGGCTCAGACCCCAGAATCTACCCTGTCTAAGCTCATGAACGCAGACGGCGACGCAAGTTCTGTCGTCAAGCAGGCTGCCACACTACCTACAGATGTGGCCAAGGCGGGCACAGCTCGGGGCGGAGTGGTCCAAGCGAGTGGGTCGGTTCTTGGAGCACTCAAGACTCCTTTGCAGCCTGCTTCAATTTCTCGGCTGCTGGGGCTGAGCTGGACGACAGATGCAGGAACTCAGGCCATAACCGCTGCCTCACAGCACACCGTCCAGCCGACCTTGCTTGATCAGGTTCGACTCCAACTGCAAAGCAGTTCGGATGGCGAGCTTAGGCGCGCAGAAGTCGGTTAGGACCCTCCAATGTTTGTGATTGTGTGTGTCGTGTGGAAATGGAGCTGTTGATCAGCACTCACCTGACTGATCTACAGAATCCTGGCTGGGGGATATCGCAGGTACCACGGCATGATGGATTGCATCGTAAAGGCCAGCGTGCAGACTTACCTGCTACTTTCCTACTTTCACCAGCATGTCCTGCGTTTGGAAGATCTCTGAACCTTTTTTGTCGATCGCTGTAGAACCCTGCAAAGCCTGGCAACCCATGGGGTTATTTCTCTTGCATTCTGGAGGTCGCCAAAGTTGAGGGACTGCGAGCGCCACGAACTCGACATTCGAGAAGACTTGTAGCTTAGGCAACCCTTGTGCAGCTCTATCGGTCATACGCACCTGGCTCAAGCGACGAAAGCTTGTGGTCTCCGTCTTCGCGTATGAAGATCCTCGCACCAGCAAGGCACTGCACAAGTGGTCCACGAGACATGGAATTTCGAGTTGGGGATATTTGCAGGCTTCTGCAGTAATCAGAAGCACATGGCAGTGATTAGTTAAACAGGAGACAAGTGCGATCATGATCATGAAGATGATGATGCTGAGGAAAGCGATGATGATCAGGAGCAAGGGCAAGGGGAGGAGGAGGAAAGTACTTGTTGTAATCATCAAAACAGGGCGACACAGGATCTCCACCCCATCGTGGGCCGAGGTTGTGGAAAGGTCTCGTACCGGCGCTGGTGCGGCAGGCGGCTTGCAGCAACAGTTGGAAGACGGGTCTACGGTACCAGCAGCAAGGCGTTCCTACGACATCTTATTTGAGATACTTTACTCGCAGTTGTTTTGCTTATTCTCATAGCTCTTGTAATCGTTGATGCGGTCGCTACTAGCAGGCACGGCTAGTGTGGTGGGATCCTCGGCTGGAGCTCCACAGATCAACCGATCAGCCAGTTCGCGACAACGATGTCAGCGTGAGCAAGCACCCACCCATACAGACGACAGAGGACCCCTGGGATGGACAACAGGTTGCTGATAAAAAGGTCCTAGACACAGAATCTCTGTTTCCGGCTGGTGTCCTCGAGGTTGAATAGAAAAAGATTGATGCTGAGTGCTTTCAGCATCTGGGAGCTTCTTGTCCGTCTAGTGTCCGTTCTTACTAAACATCTCAACAGCTGTCATGCGAGTAGTTGTTCAAATTTGACTTTGCAAGGTGTCCTACCACTCGTTCACCTTCGTCCTCTACGAGCCAATCCGGGTCGCGGGCTGACAAACTGCTTGGGTACTTTGGTCGCTTGAGTTTCAGATCTGGCGTGCGTAGCTTTCTCCTCAAGATCTGGCAACCCGAACATTTGCCGGGCCTCATGCCAGCACGGAAGCTCTACAGGTGCGCATCTGCTTGAGCCGACTATGTTCCTACTGGATGCGGTAGGCCTTGCTTTTTGGACGGGGGCTTGTCACACTTTTGTTTTTGAAGTGTACCGTACAGGGAGCCCTAATTTGGAACAGTCCCGTATCGCCGGATTGTGGTGCTCTGAGGATGTGGTAAGTGCCCTTTTGGCCATGGAGCCGGGTCAGACCACATACCTCCTGTGCGGGACCTGGGTCATCCTTTTTGATACCCCATGTGTTTTTCCGATGGAGTCACATATGGAGTCTCATGGACTCTTGAATTCATTAGCAGGCCAACTTTTCAGCAGCATTTGAGAGAAAAAGACAGGTTATCCTCAAGCACTCGCCAAGGCGGCTCGTGTCGGCGGGAACCTCGGCGGCCATCGCCATTGCCCTTTTCAACCCTACGGAGGCCGCGCCGCGCCGTCTTTCGTAAGGGCTGGGGTTTAGTGTCATTTGGGGGGAGGTTATTGCTCCGACCAGGTCATCAGTGCTTGTAGTAGCACTTTGCAGGTTGAAAACACTCTCCGATTAACAACGACTCCGGTGTTCGAGAGCTCGCTCCCTGACGCCGCAAGGCGAAGGTTACGGGAACCCAGCAGCCTCGTCTGGTTGAAGCCTGTAAGAACTGAGAGAGTGCATCGGCATGGACTGCGGAGACCTTCAAAGCTCCCCTGAGAGCCCAATACCCCTTAATTAACGAATATGGCCAGGGTTTAGGGGTTTTAGGGGTTTAAGGGTCAAATTATACAGGGCCTCAAACTATGTTTTAAGCTATATTCCCTAATTCAGGGGTATTGGGCTCTCTGGGTCCCTAAACCAGTCATGACATGTCCGGCGGTCCGAACCGAGCAGCAGGCGACTGCCTATGCGCCTCATCCCGTAGTGCCATCGATCAGGTCATCAAGACCCAGATACAGAGCAGCTCCGCCAGCCTAACGATGCGGGAGGCGGGGGATGCTTGAGGCTAGGGTCTTGGTGCAGGACGTTTTTTTCTGTCGTGTTCTAGTGCCTGGCATTTCGAAAACGGTGCGTGACGAAACGATAGGAAACCTAACCTCAGTAGCCTCGCAGGTCGCATCCAAGGCCACTGCCTCGGACTTGCTCCTGATGGTGCAAATAGCAACAGAGCCGTTCTCAGGTTTTTGCCTTGAGTTTTGGGAATGGGTATCCGCCTAGCACTGTGAAACGTGCAGCTTGAGCAAAGGGGTCCCCAAGACGTGCGGGAGAAGATATGTCCACTGAACTCAGCCCTTCAGGTCTGGAAGAAGGACGGAGCAAAAGGCTTCTGGGCTGGAGTTCGCCCCAACGTTGTGAGGACTGCTGGAGGGGGGAGCCAGCACAATGTTGCGCCCCACTTACAGCTTTGCGAAGCAGCATGACGAACCACCCCAGAATGCATCTACGTATTCAGAATTGCTGTCGCGGTACAAACAAACGGCGACGACAGAAGAATCGTGAAGCCTGGTTTATGGCCCCAGAGCTCAGATGACGTCTGCCCTCTCTCATCAAGCTATGTGTAGCTTGCTCTCGTCGAAGACCATCAGTAGCGAGAGAGAAACGGCCAGAACCAATCCTGGCTGGAAACACTTGGCATTTCCGTTGTCCTCGCATCCGCCGCCCGGTGGTAGAGGTGCGATGGTAGGAGTAGCAGCAGCAATAGTAGGGGTAGTGCGAATAGGAACAGGAGAGTAACCTTAGTCTGCGAGGCGGCAGCCGTAATCTTCAACGAAGGAGTGGCACAGAGGTCGAAGTTGGTCAGTGGTGAGTGTGAGATTTGCATAGTTCCAAAAAGAGACCAACCTAAGATAACCTAAGTATATAGCAGAGCTTACTAGAAATGCTGGTACGAGTACAAGTATTGCATAGTGGCAGTAGCAGTAGAAACCGCAGAAACAATCGTCGTCGTGTCGGGCCGTAGTGAAGCTCAGCTGTGGCTTGTTTCAGACAGGACTTTTCTGGTCAATGGCGCCGAAATAGGCCTGTGATTGAGCCTCACGTCAACATGCGGCTTCTTTGGTAAACAAGCAAGGTCTCTATTGGAGTGGGCAAAGGTTAGCCTAAGCAGAGCACCAGAACGAGAGTCATCGACAGCTTCAGAGATACTCCTACGAACCGACACGGAGATGTGCAGGCACTTATGACGAGTCCAAGTTGGTGCTGATTGAGTCAGCCGGGGACGGCCTAGACCGGTTCCCAGCCTTGCAGCTGAGTTGATTGGCTCCTTGCGCGGCTCTCGTCAACACCTGGCCTCTGCACATCTCTGCGCCTCCTGCTCAACCGACTCGGCTTTCCATCTTCGGAGCTCGCATGCTGACCTCAGTTTGCTCACGTCGGCGCCAGCTTCGTTGCCGGTTTGGCCTCAGCGTGCGCCCGCGCCCCAGGAAGCTAAGCACTCCAGAGATCTCCAGGGCTTCAGCCTGACATTAGCAGCTGAGCCACTTTTTCTGTAGATCTCCACGCCCGCGGACGTCGTCAAGACCCGTTTCATGAACGCGGCGGGATCCGAACAGGCCAGGTGCCTGCGTGCCGAAAAGTCAACTCTTCACGCTGTGTCTCTGCGGCTGCAGGGCTAGATCCAATGCACCATGCTTAAGTTTAATAGGCATACACACACAGAGACATATATATATATATATATATCTTTGTATGTCTGCATTATATGCATATGTATACACATATGTATGTATACATGTGTGTGTATGTATACACACGTACAGCACACGACGAAAGCACATGCGTGTGCTACTGCTTCACGCCTCTTGATATCGTTTGAGCTGTCGCCGTTGTTGGGTTATGCGGTCCTTTGAAGCTTTCGTTCCTTTCACACACATCTCCGATAAGCAAACTTTTGTGAGATAAGAAAATTCAGTGTAATAAGAACACATTTATATGTACACCTGTAGGTGTATGTCTACCAGACACATCTCGAGATAGTATCAGTATCTCGAGATAATCCGCGACACAGGCGGCCGAAGCACATATGAGGTCTCATAACTAATAAGTAGTAAGATAGATTGTTCAGCAGCTGCATGTTTGCATTGATGACAAGAGATATGTAGAAAAGCTCTTCTTGAGTCTTTGTACTCTGGGCCTGTCCGGGAGGCATACCGCGGCATTGTGCACACTCTGTGCAGCATCCTACGCGTGGGCCTTGCAGGGCAGCATTATATCATCTGCCCGGTAGCTGGCGCTAGTTGTGGGCCTGTAAGCCACCTGTGGCTGTAACTTGTTGTGTATGTTGTGTGCCACACACGGCTCCAAACAGGCGTAGAGGATGTCGGAGTTTGATGTAGGGCGTGCTTGTCCCTTGGAAGTATATGCTGCTGTTCCATCGCAACAACATGAACGAAACTGAGTCTCCGTTTTGCGTCAAGCACCGCTGATCTAGAAAGCGATTCTGCTCATCGCTGGGGCTGGGGAGCAGGCGACCCCAAACGAATTGGGAGGCTTTTTCCTATGCAGGCTTTGCGGTAGGCTACGCCACCTGAACTGGAATCATGGCTTTATACTTTATAGCTCCAAAAGCAGGCGCGCCTCAATGTGACACGCCGAGGTCTTGAAGGCTTCCTGGCTTTGTACAAGGCCACACCTCCCTTGCCAACCTCCTGGCGCTGTCTGGGATAAATGCGGTTCATTATTTTTCCAAGCGTTGTGATTGAGGGTCACTGTTGGGAGGACGGCAAGTCACTGCGTAGGAGGACCATGCCCCTCGGAGCCACCTGTGGCAGGGCTTTGCTCTGATCGTTTGTCGCAAGTTGATTTGGCCCCAAGCTCAGTTTAGTTTTGGCAGGAAAAGCATTGGGTCTGGAGCTTAGGTTTCGCAGCTTGGGCTCAGCCATTTCAGGTGCACTGTCTTCTTCGTGATCTACGAGCGGCTTCTTCAAGCAGTGTTCCAGGCAGTGGCAGTTTCGGTGTGGCAAGGCATCATGGCTCGTTTTGTACAGACAAGCTTACCCGCGGCAGGCATTGCGCGTGATGGAAACTTACTGATCCGTCTGCCCGTCCTCTCCCTGGAGTCAACGCACAGATTCGCTTGCAGGACGTTGTTTTACTCATGTTGTCTGTCAGTGGCATAAGAGTGTAAGCCATACACAGGCATCGTTAACGACCAGATCTCTGCGTCTGCGAAATGATCCAGAACAAGTGGTGCCCTCATGTCACATCTCTGCAGACCAGAGACTTGGAATGGTGATGCGCTTCAAAGTTCTCCCAGAGACATCCTCCGGGACAAGCGCGGTCAAAAGTTCGCGACAGAGCACCCCAAGGATAGCCAAGGATAGGTGCAGGTGGGTCAACGGAGGTCGGCGAGGTGCTTAGCCCGCACATGACGGAAAACGGAGCGGCGAATTGTTCTGGCAGCTCCAAACTTCAGAGTATCATGGAAGTACGAAGTCACCCTTGTCGGTGTTTGCGAGGATTTTGCAGTCGGGGGCTAGGCATTTGCCGTTTTAGGCATTTGCCGTTTTTGTATTCCGACAGGGCTTTCACATCAGGTGTGTTTCGTAATGCGAGTTCGCAGTGCCTGTCACCATCTGTCTCCATGTACAAAGCTTCTTCTGCAGTTGTCTATCTTTCGGTTTGTGTGTGCTTAAAGAATGTTTGGGACATGTTTTGTCAGCTTGCTTCGCGAGGTTCTCGGCTTGAACGGTTTGGCATGCCAGGTTTATGTGTAAGAACATGTCGGATACTTGCAAGCCTGAGTTTAAGAACCCTCAGGACATTCAGTTCGGCCCAAAAAACCATATGCGAGCTGCAGCAGTAAGCCACCATGGTGGCTTCGCATTGAAAGTTCATGGCCGTCTGCAGCCACGGTTGGCTCAAGCGATCGCAACATCTAAGTTAAACTTGAGATGGTGGGCAAAGTTTGTTCTCCACTGCTAGTCATGCTACCCTTGTTGTCTGTTTGTAAGTCCTGCTTCGGTTTGGACCAACATGGCTGCTTTATGCATGCGGCAGGCAGCGTTTGAGCCACGAGAGCCAAACTGAAAAGCCAACCGACCCGGATAACCGTGCAAAATACGAGAGCAAAGTTTCGCTTGTAATTCTGCATGAGCTTGGTGAGGCGAAGACCTAAACCCCGAAGGCCAGATGCTTCAGCGCGCTTCGACTTCCGCAGCGCATTGCCGTCGCATGGCCCTAAATGGGTGCTGCCTCTCTGAGGGCGTTTCTGGGAGAAACAGTCGCCACTGCTACCCGCGTCTCCAGACCTCCCTTCTGCCATACTAGTGGTAAGGCCGCTGCAAGGCGAGGTTTCGCTGCGGCCTCAGTGTTGATTGTAAGGATGATATCAGTGCATATCAAGATCGAGACATCGCAGCCCTAGTATTCCTGTTCTCGTCGTATGCTCTTGAAATGTACTCCAGCATTGCTTTTGTTTGGGTAAGGTCGGCCTGATAGAGGCATTGCTTTTAAGTTGCATGCCATCCGGGCTAGTCACTAGCAGAAAACCTCCCTTTCCTTCTGAAGGCTGGGGCAGAGACCCACGGGGGTGACGACATCCACAAGGCCAGCCCTCCTTTTGCGTCAAGGGTAGCGGCTTTGGTGCTTGCTTGCCCAGCAGGTGGAGCGACTGGTCTGCGATTTTTCTGTCCGGACTTCAGCTCCGGGCATCTGTCGCAGCCATGAGTCCTCGTGGACTCGTGGCCCCTGTCCAGGTCACCACAAACGCACTCGGACCTGTGCCCGGGGCACTTGATGCTGTGAGGCGGGGAAGAGGAAGGCACAAGTACGCCGAAAACCCGATTTCTGATCCAGACTGTGCCAGGCGACTCTTTGAAAACGGCGATCACGGCAGTGCAGGCGTTTGGAGCATGCCCTTTAATAAGGGCGATGCAAGGCCTGCCGCACAAGCAAGCAGTACGAATCATTTCGATGATGAAAGTGATAGCTTCGGTTCTTCTAGATTCTAGATCATCGTCTGGCACACTGAAGCATATCCACCGTGCCTGGCACGGAATGATGACCTGTCATGCAATCCGCAGAGGCAGTCCGGCAACCAGGCCGGCGAATGTACAGGCCATCAGCCCATACACATTGCAGTCTGCGGCATCAACAGAGCTCCTTCTGTGGAATCCGGGGTACTGTGACAAATAGGCAGACGAGTACGATTCTAATCGGAGGGCCAGGATGTTTGAGAAGGAAACATATTGCTTGCTGGGATGACCTGGCAATTCCCATTTGGAGCCGGTCGCTGAGAAGTGCCAGACACTTGCACTTGCCTCCCTTCAGGCATCTCCGGCGAGGTATCCTCTAATGCAGCAATCGAGCCGCATCCCAAGTATGCGGTGCTGGAAAGGGGACCTTGTGTGTGTGCAAATGCTGCAATAAGCAGGTTTGTCTCAGTGTCCGTGGAGTCTCTAAGAAAGGTCTTCCTCGGTTTCTACCTGGTGTCCTGCAAAAGCAAGCCGGATGCTTTGAGAAAAGCAAGCGAGGCATTACCCGAAACGGGCAGACGACGAGCTGGAGCTTCTGACGGCCGCATTCCTGCGTGGCGACGCGAATGCAGAGGCCGTAAGCCATAAGCCGTACTAGGAGCTGCTGGGAGCGGGGAGGGGAGAGTGGTAACTACTCGTAGTGCAGGTCACGCGCTCCCAGCTGATCTTCGGCAACGGCGCCAGTGAGCTCATAGATTTGTTGGTCGGACTCTTGGCGGCCTGTTGAACATGCTTAAGTGGTCGCAATCGCATTTTGCTGCCACCCGTCGCACAGACTTCGCTTCTCCAGGGTATCCCATCAAGTGCCAAGTTCCTGCCACAGCGCAGAACCCTAAGTGCCGAAACCCTATGGGGACCCGACACCCCCTCAACCCAACCCCTATTCCCTAAACCCCAACCCCCTAAATCCTGAACCTAAGCCTAAAACCCCAAGCCCCTAAACCCTGAATCCCAACCTCCCAAACCCGAAACCCCCAACCCATGAAACCCTAAACCGGAGTCCGCGGCGAGGGCCGGGCTGCCCCACAAGGAAAGTACTGCCGGGAAGCTCGGCCTCCCGAGAGCAACCCGTTTTTGAGAAAATTTAGGGCTAGGGATTCAGGGTTTAGGATTTAGGGTTTGAGGTTCAGGGTTTGGGATTTAAAGGGGTTCAGGGTTTGGGGTTTAGGGCTTAGGGTTCAGGATTTAGGGTTTAGGACGTAAGGTTAGGGGTTCAGGGTTAAGGATTTAGGGTTTAGGATTCAGGGTTTACGGCTCGGGGCTTCGGCTTGAGGGCCTAAAAATGTTTAGGGTTCAGCGTGTATATATAGGGATAGGGTTTCTGGGCTTGGGCTCTAGGGCTCAGGCTCGGGGGTTGAGGGGTTCAGGGTGTTTCGGGTTTCGGATTATTTCGGCGGGCCCTCAGGTCTCAATCCCTTCACGGAAGTTCAGTACCGGGAGCGGGGCACCCAGCTCATGGCAGAGGGAGTCTCGAGAAGGTTTGGAGGTTTCAGAGCATGTGCTAGAATGGGAGATGGATTGGTTCCTTTCTCTTGACTGAAGGCAAAACAGAATCATGAGACTCTACGTCCTCAGCATGCAAGTTGAAACATGGAGAGGATGAGGCATTACGGGGATTTGCTGCATACCCGTGGCAGTGATGACAGGTATCAGCGGGCCTGCGACAATGCAGGGAGAGAGTGTCCAGCACTTGGTGCGGTGAGTTTTGATCTACAGAGCACTTGTTGGACTGTTTCGCTGCATGGCACCCTGCCGGAAGCTCCGTTTCATAAAGCCTTGTTTGACCGCCACACACACAATGAGGCACCAAGAATCCCAAGGAGCGCTGGCTTCGGAGAGGGGGTTAGAGCAAGTCGTGTCAATTATTCTGACGGCTGGCGTCTCAAGAGTTCGGGAAGAGACTAAACGGCGATGCAGACAAGGACCCCACAGCATACCATGTATCAAAGTCAAGAGCCTCCAGGGAAAGTGGTTTCGTTACCAACATGCCGTGAGACACAGCCAAGCTTGGACAGGACGCATCGGTTATTTGCAGAGCCCTCAGCGTTGTGATTGCCGTTTGAAGCGTCAATGCTGTGGGGCAGGCATCGGGGGGCTGCAGTGCAGACTTGGGCTGTTGGTGCTGGTCTGAACCGATTGTGTCCAAGATTGAGGCTTGGTGAATCCCAACAACCCAACGGGTGATTTCTTCGAGCGGTCCGAGATGGAGGCAGCAGCCTGTTGCCTGAAGGAAGCCATTCACACGCCAGTGTGGCGCAGAGAATGCCGAGAGACACAGCGATAGCGGTGGGTACAGAGTGGCCACAGGCATATTCGGTCCAGAAAGCCCCATGCATGCTGTGGTCGATCTCCCAACGTAGATCTATACCCGAGACCCTCGACGTGCATCAACAAAGTGCTCTTTTCCCGCTGACCTTGAAGGCGTGGATCTCGGAGCATGCTGCGCCTGGCAGCCAGCAGCCCGGAGAGTAGGCTTAGCTTCCCAACAGTTGGGCTAAGTCCCCGGTGCTAGTAACAACGCATGCAGTTTAAGAGCATGGGGCTGTTGGTTGCTGAAGTCTACCGGGTCCAGCAGACACCCCACCCCGATATTGGTTCTGCTAAAGGTGGCGAGGAGGTCCTGGTAGTCTAACAGCTCCTTCAGGAGCTGCTTCGGCAGAAAGCAGCAGCGGGCATCATAAGACCTCGTCCTGCACGGTATCGGCCATCCTTCCATGATCCGAACTCATAGCCCCTTACAAGCCCCGCAAAACATGTGGGCTTTAAACTGAGTCAGAAATGCACAGGCTGGGTCATCGTTGATGAGTCCATGCTCTTCTGGGCCGGCCCAGACTTTCAGGACAGACGCTGACAGGTAAGTGATTCGATTAGTTTGACTTCCCCGGAAAGCCTCATGGAATCTCCAAAATGGGAGTTTCCGAAAATTAGGGGTGCCTTATTTTGGGGGTCCTTATATTGAGGATCCTACCATTTACGGTCCTATATTAGGGTCCCCTATTTTCGGTAACTCCCAAAGATCTCGAACCCCCGAAGCTGGCTCTGATCCTCTGGAAAAGGGGGTCTGGACTCGCAGGAGCGTGGAGTTAGTGCGAGTTTCACCGAGTCCATGGTGAAGAAGCATATCAATATCTTCCTGGTGCAGCACTCAGTGCAGAGATGAGACCACTATTCCAAGAAATTCATGCTGTTGTTATCTGTTGATTTTATTATTGTTGTCACCTTGATTCGTGCGAAAATCAGCCTGGCTATGCTTAGATTATTCTTATTGTTATTGGTAGTGGTAGCGTTGAGTTTTCTTCTGTTCTCAAGAGGTGCAATCGTGGACAAAGATATTCTCGTGCACTGGGTCGAAGGCTCAGGGGCTTGGTTGTTGTGGCGGTTATGGGGAGCTGCATTGAAACATCCTGCATGTCTGATTGAGTTTTCTGGGAAAGCTTCTTCTGTAGCTCTGGACAACTGCTGTGGTCCTCACCACCGAGGTTGAGGATAGGCGCGGTGGAGGGATGATTGACTGCAGACACGCCGAATTCCATATGCGTGTGGCGAGTGCTTCGCAGAAAGGTAAACACATAAATGATGCAATAAATGATGCTGGTAGAAGCAGCAGCACCATCAGGAGAAGTCAGAAACCTCAGTGAGACTGGCATCAATGTTGCAGCAACTATGATATATATATATATATATATACATATATATATATACACACATATATACATATATATATGCTATATATATATATATATACATACCAACCATCAGCACTTGAGCAGCATGCCAACAAGAACAGCGGCGAAAACAAAAGCACGAAAAGCAATTGACGGGTTTGCCAGAAGCCGTAGGGGTGCTGGCCAGGCACGGTGCTGTGCCCTACCGCGGAGAAGAGAGACCTGCTCCAGGGGATGCAGGCTTTCAGGGATGAGGATTGGACAGGTTTGAGGGTTGAGGAGCTGAGGGTGGGGCGCCTAGCCCTGTGACACTCGCATCCGTTTCAGTACGACGCGCGACAGAGTGGTGACCACACCGTAGACCCACTCCTCCATCCTGCAGGGGCCTTAAACCCTGACACCAGAAATACAATAAGGAACCCAGACACCAAACCGTAAACTCCAGATTTGAAACCATAAGCCTGAAACCCTCAAGCTCCGTGGAGGTGCCATGGTCAGTGACTGCCTTCGCTCGAGCCTACCTTAAAGCCGCCTTGAAGGACCCACAAAGCAGAGCTCCTAAGTTATATATATATATATATATATAACTATATGCACATAGAATGTAATGTTCTATTATATGATATTACGTTGTTATATATATATATGTATGTCATACACATATATATATATATATATGTTCGGAGGTTTGGGGTTTCAGACAGGATAGCTGCTGCAGTCTGTGATTTCAATCCTAAGCCAATTTCTGGGCTGGGAGGACCGCACCTACCTGGAGCGCACTTGGAGTGCGACACCTGCCTGGCGGGGTTCCTGCAAACGTGGTCGGAGTTTCCGAACATAGGGGCACCCATAATAAGACTCGTACTATTTAAATTACGATATTAGGGTCCCCTTTTTTCGGAACCTCCCTTGTGAGTCTGGAGAAGATGATAGTATCAATCTTACGAGAAGCTGTCGGCATCTCAATCCACTTCGTGAGCGGTGGTAGCTACCGCCGGGAGTTTCGGCGTTCAGTGCGAGGCGTTGATGTGGGAGTGCAAAGGCTTGACTTCTGCGTTGGAGCTGAAAACCGAGTAGAAGGAGAGCAACTAGGTTGCTGAACGGTTATGCCAGGGCCACTCCACGTAGACGACGAAGCCAAATCAGTGCTTGCACATCGGATGACACACCCGGAGCTTTTGAAGTCGCAACCTGTGAGGTATCACATAAGAGTATGCCCATGCAAGCATCTTCTTTTATCGGGATGCAGGAAGCTGCTGCGGGCCATTGCTCCCCTGTTTCAGGTTCCAAGCAGATGTAGCACAGCTTCCACGAAGTTTAGGAGCACTGACAAGTTGGGGTTGGGGTGTATGGCAGAACAGGCCGGAGTTGCTGAGTTGAGTTTTGGAATCTGCTAAAGGCGAAGCCACATGATCACCCGCCTGCAAAGACTGCCAAGTCCTCAGGATTTCTGATTTGAGATGTTGGACGTCGGAGTCTTGCAGGGTGCATAAGGTGCTTCAGGCTTCCGTCGAAGCAAAGTTAAAGCCAAGGGGCGCTGTGCTGCCTTTACGGAACGATTCCTTGTCGGCACTGGGGTTCCATATGCTCGAAGCACGGGTATGCCAAATACTTGCCCTAACAAAGAGCCCATCCTCAGCCAGAAGCAGGTGTCGCATCCGCGACAGCAATGACACTGCAAATATAACTATAATCGCCACCAGTTGGTACAGATGAGTTATGTCAGTAGCCAAAAAGCATTCCAAACCCTCAGGCATCCTGAGTGGAAGTTCCTCGGTAAGCCGTGGCTTTCGTGGGCATCAGCCTCGGCCAATGCGAGCCGACGTCGGGGCGAACGTTGAGAATCAGGCTGTATGCAGGCGGTATTTGTGAGTGGAATACCTCAAGCGTCTTCTGTATCATCTTGGAAATCTGGTTTTTCGCATCTGGAGGTTCCATGTCACACCACATCGCACCGATCCTAATTTTCTGGCACCTTTTAGAGCACGGAGAAACTCCGAAACTTTTGCCACGACAAACCGGTAGGGTAGCAGTAGGGTAGGTAGTTTAGTAGTAGGGTATGGTAGGGTAGGCTAGGGAAGGCGTGTAAACCCAAGCTGAGATTTGGATCGACACGGGCAGCTCGGAGGTCGCCCAGGATGCCTCGGCCTGAATCATCTGGGAGTTTCCGAAGATTTGTTGGGGTTTTCCTTATTTTGGGGGTCCTTATAATGAGGATCCTACTATTTAGGGTCCTATATTAGGGTCCCCTATTTTCGGTAACTCCCAAAGATTATTTTGGGGTCCTTATAACAAGAATCCTACTATCTAGGGGACTAGGCTAGGACTAGGAGGGACTATATATCAGGGTCCCGCTTTTTCGGAAACTCCCATGTCTGCTTGGCCAAGATGCTAGGATTTTAAGATCGCCACATGCACTTCAAGCCACGACTCAGGTATACAAAACGGCGCTGAAGTGTGGCTGTCCTATACGCCATGCTGCATCTGGACTGATGGGATCTGCGAAGCTGGGGCAATGTGGATGGTATCCCTCCTGTTTGTGATGTTCCTGAAGCCTGAAGGTAAATCCGCTCTGCTTGAGTTATCAAGAGGGGGTGTGAGGCTATGAACTGCTTCAGAGCTTGAAGGCTGCAGCGGTGGCCGGGTAGCCCAGATCCGCATACCCTCAGGCTTCGGAATTGACACCTGAAAGAGTCGAAGAGCGCAGACCGATAATCCCAAAATGCAAGCACAAGCAAAATGACGACGCTGACGACAAAGACGACGACGACGACAAAACCGCCAACACACCACCACAATCACAACGACAACCACCAAAGCAGCAGTAACAACAACCACAACAACACCAACAACCACAACCAGCGCCGCCGCCGCCACCACCACCACCATCACCACCACCACCAGCAGTAGCACTACCACCACCACAACCACATCCACAACCATAAGCGATGCCACCACCACCACCACCGCCGCCACCACCACCACCACCACCACCAGCACACCACAACCACAAGCAACCACAGCAAAGCCTGCAACCACTGCAGGCACCACAGCGACGACGACGACAACGACGACAATGACAATGACAAACGCAACGACAACGACGACGTCCCGAGAAGCGCGAAGCAAAACCCCCCAACCGGCAACCCGCTCCAGCTGTCCGAGGCTTCGGGGCGCAGACGCCTCGTCAATACGAGTTCTACCAGCCTCGAACTACCACCTACTGTGCTGCCTGCAGGATACGACAGGCCAACTGTCGTGCGGCTGGCGGTCCGCAGACCCTACGATTTCTCCGTGCTCCACCAGGCCCGAGCAGGAATTTCAGCTGTAAGTGGGCCGAGTCCGGGCTAAACTGCGCACTCATCCCCTGCAGGCGCTTCTGCGCCGGGCTTGCGTCAGCGAGAGCTTCGTGAGACCCTCAGTTGGCAGCAGCTTGAGCCAACTGGCACACTACCTGCAAGGATCTCAATCTTGCTGCTTCTGTCGGCTAGGCATCTGCTTTTCTTCAGACTTGTAAACTGATACAGGTATGTGTGCCGGCAGAGTGAGCATGCAGCGGTTGTTGGCAGCTGGTTAAGGCTGAAAACTTCACATTCAGACTGGAGGGCCTCAGACTCCAGAAACCAGATCTGTGAATTTGAACTGACCAGATTCGAGCGACTTTCGGCACATCTGCGGACGTGAATCCAGCAGCCCCAGCCTTGGACAAGAAGCCTAGTTTGGATAGTCCGGTGTTGAGGAAGGCATGCCTTTTGCACGGCTGGTGCAATCCAGTGCATTTGCAATAAGTAGGGTCGCTGGTAGCATCAACTAAAACATGTGTAAGGCTGCAGGATGCGTGCAGGAACATGTGATGGTTTTGGCCCAGGATTGGGCGCTGTCATCATCTGCCATGTCAAAATATGAGCCATGCCTGCTTCACACGCTTCTGGTGCACCGCTGTGTGCCAGAGACTCCGCAGCACAAAGCCGGCGTGCTGAAGGGGCGTAGCTATGCTCAACACTTCTTCGTGCTTCGAGGTGATAGAGGGCGTCCGGCTCGTACACATCGATGACTTGAAACCGCACGAAGAGGCGGGGGATCCTAGCAGTAGCTCGTCTTATGCAGGCAACTTCTACCAATGTTTTTGCCACGCCAAGGGACATGTTAGATCTGAAAACTGGTCGCGGACATTGAAAGCTCGTAGACGAGTGTCATACGATGTTCTCCCTGGCGAGTTCTCCAGCAATGAATCCTGAGAGGTCTTGAAGGATCGAGCTACAAAGCTACAGGAATACGTGCGAGACCTGCCTGCCACTGCCTCAGTGTCTGCATGCCTTGATTCTGACACAGTCAGGGATGCAGACAGATTCTGGAAGCACGCCGCTCCTGGTCTGTCCTTGCAAAGCCGTGCTACAGACGGTGAACGAGCGCTGCATTCTACCTTTGGTCTCCTGGGTTCGCCTGTCGCGACCCACAAAACATGCAAGATGCACTCGAGGTCAAGATTCTTCCCGCCATCATTGTAGATTCGCAGTACGATGCCAGCCCCTCAGAAGAGGCCATCATCAACCCTTGAAGGGCACCCAAGCTTTCATCGTGTAGCTGAGGTTGTGATCGACGGGCACCATCGTTTGGAGCTGTTCAAAGCAGCAGGCATGACGATCGTGCTGAGTGCTCAGCTTCGCCTAGCTTCCATCAGCTACGACAGCAAGACAATCGAGAGCTCAGAGATGAACAGGGTGAGACAACGGGGCGGCATTAAGGCCAGCGGTGTCCGTCAATTACGAGCATCCAGATATCTTGGTAAATCCTCCTGGCCTGCGTCGGGAACCCGGAGATGAATCACCATGTCTTCGTTTGTGCTTCTCTAACTAAGATGCGTTCGCAGAAATCCACGAATGAAAGCTTCGGTGCCTTTGCTCCGTCATCATGCTGTTTTGCATGCTGAAAAACCAGACCTGCCATTGACCCTGGACTGTATCTTCTGAGCGTAAGAAGACCCAGAGACAGATCTACCCTGAACCTTGATTCCTGAGACTGCGACTCTCTGTCCATCTAACATTTTTACCTGCATTTCTGTCCATGTGTTTGCTCAGGCGCACCTATTAAATGTACGTACTTGCATAAAAATGTGTGTGTGTGTGTATATATATATATATATATGTACACATATGTATGTACATGTATACAGACATGCATACATACGTACGTAGATACATGCATGATATTCATGTGGCTGTATGCATATTTACACACACATACATATGCGCATCACATACACATACTTAAACATATACTTATATGTATCTACTTATATGTAGGTATACATACTATGAAACTACTGTAGTGGCAGTAGTGCCAAGTACATTCGTAGCATGACGAGTTCAAGGGTAAGGTGAAAGATAGCAATAGAGATGCCTGATCAGTAACCCTTTCTCCCATCCTTTAGTCAAGACGATACGGCCCCTTGTATGAGTCAGCTTTCTTTCTCAGCGGTCTACATTGAGCCTGATTCCGCCCTAGACCCTAAGACTCCTGTATCACCCTTACAAAACCGCTATAAAAAAGAGTCAACCTCTACACGACGTGACTTCTGTCTGGCAGCAGAGAGGTCCTGACATTAGCAAGGAGCAGGTGATCAACAGCGCCATGAAGGGACCGGGTGCATGTCGTCGCGCACAGCGCCTACGTTTATAGAATTCCCGAAGAGGCATGGTGCGGGTCTAAAGGAGTGTGTTCATGCATGGAGTTTTGCTTGTAGGTCTGTACACGGAACACTTGTCGTACTGCTCAGGATTTCAACTCGGCTGAGTCGGTAGTTCGCCCTTTGTTTGTACTCAGGCTTTGGGGGCAAGGGGAATTCAGAAGCCAGGACACACCCTCGAGCCAAAGACGACGCAGCACCTGGTACGTCGGGATGCTTACATGCCCTGCTACACCAAGGCTCACCCAACGCCCAATGCAGTGGCGAGGCAGCCTCCGGGCAATGGTCACCAGGCAAAAAGATGCGTGAAGAGAGTTGAACAAACATGCCGAGGTTCACGAGGGGGCGCACTCCTTCCCATAATCGTGGGTGCCCCAGCTGTCTCCGATTGTCAAAATGCGAGACAGAGACGACAGAGGGGGCTGGCACATGTATTTCGGAACACCAGGATCAGAGCTTTCAGAAACACATGGCCGCTGCATATCAGACTCAGTACCTGACTAGATATGCTCACTAAGTGCACCTTCAGCTTTCCTCTCGGCTCTTTCATATCATCTTGCATGCTAAACAAGGAACGAGGCAATCGCTTCAGCGGTGGTTCACCGGTTCACTGCAATACGATATACCAGAAGGAAGATTGGGCCATCGCTGCAGATTCGCTAAGTTCCCTGATAATGCCGTTCTCCCGCGAAGAAATCCTAAATGCCTCTCTCTAGGCACACAAAACGAGGCAGGGTTCGGACCCCCATCTGTTGGCAAGCAAGGTGCTCGCGCCACAGATTGCCGAAGTGGTTCACCATTGAGGCCTGCACCATGCAGAAGGGACCGTCGTCTTTCCGTCAAAGTCGACTTTGAGCGGTGGCAAAGTTGCTAGTAAGTGAGTGTCAAAGATTCGCAGCACTGATGTCGAAATCCCTCAGGGCTTACATGAAATGACACTTCGGCCTTCGGGCTTTACACTTAATAATGTCACCCTTGGAGCTGCCAGAATTCGTGCTGTGGAGTAGTTCAGGGATCCTTTGGCTCTAAGCTCGATGACCGTTAACATGACTCCAACGGTTCCAGCGGCCCCTTCACAACTCTGGAGATGAGCCTGCTGGTTTGCCGGCCGATTGGAGAAGATTCCAGCTTGGGTTCAGAATGGTGGGGCGGTTCTGCAGGAGCTTTCCCACCCTAAGATATACTGGGCACCAAGATGTTTATGCCGGTGCCTTATGCGCAGCTGATACGGCTGTGTAGCATTCCTCAGCGAGTTGCCTGCCATCATTGCCGCAGGTCTCCAGCGCTGGCAAGAAGCCGGCTGCTGTTGAGGTCAGAGATGCGGTAGTTTCACATGGGGCCTTCAGTTCGCACTTGCCTGAAACTGTGTATGCATAGAATCCAAGAAAATACCCTCATTACAAGTTTTCTGCCGGCAACATCTTGCCGTGGCTGTTTGCCAGATCCAGCCCACTTGCCGATCGACATGGTTTTAAAGCTGTCGCTAGACTTGCTGGCACCAGCAAGCTCAAAATGAAGGCCACATGTCTCTTGTGTGGGCCAGGCCCGTGTTCGAGAGCTGAGGTCTGGCTAGTAGAAACAGGCTTGTGATTGTCTGTGACATGGTGTGCAGAGCTTTTAGAGTCGCTGATGCCTGTGCAGTTTTTCACGACTGAACCCACGCTGCGCGCTTCCACGAGAGCTTGACTTTCTGAGCACTGCAGAGTGGAGAACATCACTGCATCCACCCACAAGTCGCTGACACTGTTCGGTGCTTCGTTGATCGTATAAAAGTTTAGTGAGAGGAATGCCGCAAAAGGCACTACCTCCTAGTATCATAGACAAGCACTTGGACTATGGCAGCCCGGACATCGCTAACCACTGACGACAGGAAAAACACTGCAACACCACTCCCCGGAGTCTCGGTAGCCACATTGGAACTGCAGCGACCGCGTCCGTGGGCCTCATGGCAGCCCATCATGGCTGCCAAGCGGAAACTCGGCAGAGGAGGCTTGAATGTCTTTGCTCCTGCGGAGTGAAGGCAATGGGCAGTCTAGGGGCCTCAACAATCGGGATGGCGCTACCGGGTACGTGATGCTGTGCGCAGAACAGGAATGAGAGCACTGCTGGCAAAGCATTGAGACAGAAGCCACAAGACGTTGGTATGTTGGACCCAAATCCCGAAGCCCCAATCCGATCCATCCCTTTGCCAGTCCTGAGCTGTTGTTCACTGCGATGGGCGACTGGGCTGCTGGCGGCCGGCAGCTTTTGGCCTCTTGCATGGGATGGTCATCACTGGAATATCCCTGGATGGTTGCATTCGCCGTTGTTGCCCCCCGAGAGGTTTCGGTGAGTGGGCGCGTCCAGGTATTCAGAGTGCAGAGAAGCCAGTCAAAGCTGCAAACTCTACCAGCTCGATGTCAAGCTTCGACTTGTCTTCCTGTCAGGATTGTTTCGACACAGAAGCTCGACTTGTGTGTGCTGTGCTCCAATTGCTGGCTCAGGATGATGGTTTGGATGTCAATGCACTGGAGACTGCCACTGGGCTTCAAGGGATGGTTCCGGCGCGGAACGTTTGTCGACTCAGTCTACTCGAGGCCAGAGGCGCCTTGCAGGCCTAGGTCCTAGGTTCTACCGCTAGGATTCACAAAACCGAGTCATGATGTTCCCTAGCCGTCGCAGAACCCGAAACTTCCCGAGGCTGCAGCTGCACTGATTCGGACCGATAGCACGCAGGCTGCAAGCCGTGGTGTTAGCATACTATATTGTTCGAATATTACAGTGTATTGTAGTACATTGTAGTAGATCATGGTCGAATACTGTAGCATATTATAGTATACTATGGTAAAACGGTATAGTATGTTATAGTAGAATATGGGGGGTTCCGAAAATTGGGTCCTTATTATCACGACCCCCAAATCAGGTACCCCTAATATTCGGAAGCCCCCATATCATGGCATCTTGAGCCTCTGTCGAGTCAAGGTTCAGTGGCACGCCCTCCCAGAGCTCCGAGCCCGAGGAGAAGATCCCAGAGGCCGACGATCGAGCAAACGAGACTAAACCCTGGGCTATGGTATGCCATAAGATACTGTAATAATATGCTACCATAATGTACTTTTAATTTGAGGGTGCGTCGGAATACGGGCCCGTGTTTTTCGAGTAAAACACGGTTTGCCTGACAACATGTCCGTGTACTGATGGGGGTCCTCAACCGCTTCAGTGTTCAGAGTTTGTCAAGTCTTTTCATTAATATTGGGGCGAAGGTGTCAAAAGAATTCATGATTTGGAGTGCTTGGTGGAGTGCGAAGGCCTGCTCATTACGTTTTTGGGGTGGGTTCCCCCTCCCCTTCCCGCGCACCCGAAGGCCTCAGGGGTGGTGCTCAGCCCCCTCCCCAGACCCATGCGGGAGGCCGGGGGGGGGGGGGGGGGGGGGGGAACAAAAAAAAAAAAAAAAAAAAAAATATATATATATATATATATATGGGTGTTTCGGATTGCGTGCACAGCGATCGTCGGGGGCTCAGCTTTGCCCATGGGAAAATATATATATATATATATATATATATATGTATATATATATTTATTTATTTTTTTTTTCCCCCCCCCCCCGCGGCTCCGCGGTGCACGCATACGACGCCAGCCGTCCCACGTCTCCCTGCTGTGGTTTGTTTTCTATATTAATCTGTGAGTATGAATTGCCTCCACTTGAATATTTTTGCCAATCAGTTATTTATTGGTACCTGCCTTTTCATTGAATACAATGTACTTATAATCACGTTACGATACAGCTTTTTAGCATTTACAGAACATAAAAGCCTAAACATAACTATACACAAACGCAGGCCCGTATTTTGACGCGTTCTGTTTAATTTCTGCCATAATATACGATAATACTCTGCCATAATATACTATAAATACTGTACCATAGTGTACTGTAAATGTTATTCTGCCATAATATAGTATAAGATTCTGGCATAATGTACTATAAATACTTTAACATAGTATGCTGTAAATTTTAATTTTACCATAATATACTTTACTGCTCTACCACAATATAATATAATATTCTACCAAAATATATTATAAGAGTCTACTATAACATACTACCTTAAGCTGTGCGAGAGACCTGAACTCGCTGCGCATGTGCTCGCTTCAAGCTGCGAGGCCTCGGAGCCAGCTGCTGCACCCGGTCAGCTGCGCGAGGTCCCCGGCCCAGATATACCGGTTGAAGCAAGCCGCTCATCCATGGTCCTCTAATTTTTCATTGTACCCCCCCGGCGCACTTGTTGCTCTGCTGATTGTTGTTTTCCGCCACGCAGGAGGCTGTGGCGGACACTCGCAGCGCCCAAGACGCACATCTGCCTGCCTGGAGTCCGAAGCTGCCTCGATACGGCAAAGGCACTCATGACTCGTAGTGCCGGCACAGCAGCAACAGACCCGTCACCGCAAATGCTCAGATGTTGTACGAGCGGCACGGGAAGGCAGCAAAGTCAAAGACGGAGGCAAAGAGCTGAAGGGAGGCACTTGCCCACAGAAGCCTCGCTCCGCCCTCGGCATGCGCTAGCTCGGGCTCCGGCACTTGCATGTGTAACGGCATGGGCCAAGTCGACAACGTGTGACATGTCTGAAATACACTCTCAAGTTTTCACACTCGAGGCCGCAAAGAAAAGTGGGGCGAGGTCGTGAAAGAAGCGGAGCCCTCAGACGATTGCGTCTCTGCGACTGAGAACATCATGGACAAGTTTCAGTTCCTGGCGCGATTCCAGTTCGACAACTCTGAAGACGCACGTGCCCATGATGTAGTCTTGTCCGGGGCATGGAAGCCTCAGGACATGAAGATCATCAAGGCTGGCTCTTCGACGGTGGCCAAAGCCTGCTACCGGGCAGGGGATGCCTTGGTCTTTGACCTGCGGCTGCAAGAGGCGGGAGTTTCAAAATTGCACGGCTTCCTGAGGTTGACATGAAAACACGAATACAACCAGGGACAACCCGCTAAGTGGAAACGCGTGGCCGATTGAGTGCAAATCTATATCTACGGACACACTTGCAAAGTTAGGGTGGCATCTGTTTCCTCGTTGAGAGCTTGTAATCTCATATCACTCATATCTTCCAGCTCCAGGTCAAGCGGACAGCAGGCTACGCCTATGAGATGCCGCGTGCTCGGACTGCGGTAGGGCCCATCCAGCATCTCCATCTGCATGAGGGCAAGAGGCTCACCTGCAGATGCGAAGGTAATGCAAGGCCGGCAAGGTCGCTTGCCGATACACGTAAAGTGTTGGCTTCTAGTTCTGCAGCAGGACAGCAATCAAACACGCACGCACGCGCACACACACACACACACGCCTCTTCTACGGGAAAAACGGGTTTCTAAGATTTCGAGTCATAGGCGTGGCAAGCCGTGAGAGGCCTTTTCCGGATTACATCGTGGCCGACGAGCCTGGCCAGACTGGATTCGAGAGGCCCTGATCCACCAAGCGCCGTGCCGGTTTCGGTGATGTGGGTGATTCCACTGTGACATCTGCATCTGGTTAGGCGAGACTCGTACCGAGCATACTGCAAGATGTTGCGATGGGAATCTAGAAAGCAAGCCGTGCTTGTTGAAGAACGCACTACAGTAATGCTCAGGTATTAATGCAGGTGCATGCTGCTGAACACGTTCTCGGCGGCCAGATGTAGCTCCACACCGAATCGCAGAGACCGTGTGAGGCGTTCCACTCTCCAGTTGTCTGCGGCTAAGTGTGGCTTTCATGCTTCACCTCGAGTCAAGCTTAGTCCAGGCGTTTGCAGGAAGGGCTTGAAGGGCTTGACACCGTCCTGGTGTTGCAGGACTGCCCAGCTGCACTAGCACATCAAGTCAAGCGCGTTCAGACACGCCCCATCAGCGTGGGGCGGACATTTCGAGTGTTGCTGCATCTTTGTGGTACCTTTCCCAGTGCTCGAGAGCAGCCGTACACCGTGGATAGAATGTACTTATGTATCATGTTGATTGTTTTGGGGGTTCACGTACATCTACAAAGCAATTGGTTCACCTTACATTTATGCGAGTCTTGATTCGCGCATTGTCATGCTGTGTTGAGTAACCCCGTAAACGCACCCAGCCCTCGGAACCAAGGTTGGCCGTTCATCGAGGTCATGTTGTGTTGCTGGGGCCCGCTCACACAGACCTGGCCTGGGGCTTAGCGTTCTAAGATCTTTCAGGGCGTCAGGTTCAAGAACTTTCAGTGCTTTCCTTGGGTTCTCGACCATGTGAGATTTGGCGGAGTTGGTCTTAGCTACGTCTCGCATGCTTGCTGTGAATTTGGATATGTTAGTGCCTGGTTTTGACAGTTGTGCTTCTGGCGTCTGGGCCGGACTGATCTCTTTTCTCAGTACCCTCGTCAGAGGTCTCTCTGAATCCGGGTCCTTTTCTCGGGACCATATTGGAAGAGGTGCACTGCCCTGAAACCCACAGGTCAAATAACCCAGGAATGCGGCGGCACTTCAAAATCCAGACTGCTAAAATGTCAAGGGGGTTGGTGAGATACATGTATGTGATACCTGTGTACATACATCTTTGGTATATGTATGCATTCGCTGTACTTATTGTCTGATTGCTTAGAGTGCTTTGTCTGTTCTGATTGCAGTGCTTTCTCTGAAGTGCCAGCTTCTGGACTTTCGGCTAAATCTTGAAGCTGAGTGAGTGCCCCCAGGAGCAGATCCAAAACGTGGGCGAAGGTGCCTTCGTCCACTGGCGCGAGCCACTCTCAGAGGCAGCTCAAAACGCGGGAGACCCATCAAAGTCCCGAAACCTCAGATTCCGAGTCTGTTGGGGCAGGCTTTTAATGGCTTGTGATAAACAGATGAATTGCACAGGACGAGGAGGGCAGAGGCAAAGAGAGTATCCTGTGCGGGACCTTCGGTTTGAGCACACGAGCCCTGTCCAGGGGCCTTTCGGCACCAGCAAGCTGCGCTTCTCCACTCCGGACAACGTAGATCTGTGCCTGAGCATCGAATGGTTCTGACCATTTTGTTTGCAAGAAGAACGACTCATGCTACACGTACCGGGCATCTGGGTAGAGCGGCGTGAGTCGTAAGAAACCAGAAGCTGGTCGGAGAGCTTGCAGAGCTCAGGAAGGAGATCTCGCAGTTGCGGGCCGTGGTTTTCCCACTCTCCCCACGTATGGGCTTCGTGGAGTTCGTGCACAAGCCCAACAAGAAGCTCAGCGAGATACGGCACTAGTGAGTCAGGCATCTTTGGGTTTTTTGCAGTCCCAAGAGACGAGTGTGCTGAACAGGGTTCAGAGACTCTAAAGTGGGAGTAGACACGCTGTTTGCACACAGGCATACATGTGTCCATGTGTACATACACATATACATAGACATAGACACATACCTACATCCGCAAATACATACAGTTACATACACATATCTGTAAATCGGTATACATACCCAACATGTACATATGCATATACATATGCGAGTTGCGAATCCAGAGCGCCGACCCTCTCAAAAAGAATAAGGAAAGCCAAAGACTACGATCCGACCAAGAGGCATCGGTCAGGGACGGGATCACGGAGTCTTTGTGCCCCACCCCGCCCCCTTCGTTTTGGGAGGGTATTTCCCGTTGGGCTGGCAGATTCTCCGAGGTCTCGGATCAAGAAGTCATCTCTGCTCTGTTCATGTCAATGTATGTTCATGTTCTTTAGACTAAAGAGGCCGATGTATAGCTTTGTGATGGTCCCCATCGTGTTTAAGCTTGGGTGCGGCCCAACATTCTCAATCTCATCGTCTGCAGCACTATCACTCATCATCTTGAGCCTTCCCCCTCATCATCCCGATCCTGGTTGCTCTGGCGCCAGTCCAGTGACTGTGGAAGTCCACAGGAACACGATTCTGCGGCAGGAAAGGCGAATATAGTAGTGGCAGGAGCTGCACACGAGCAGCAGGATAGGTTGCACAAGTAGTACAATGGTAGAATAGCAACATGCATCCTTAGTTTCAAAGTTGACAGGCAATGCAGGGAGGACATTGCCACTACTACCAACCACCCCTACAACATCTGCACTTATAGCCACGGCTACAAAAATTGTCCACAAGCTCCGACAGGCGAAGAAGGAAGGAGATCCATCGCGAGCTTTTCTTCCAGACCTTCCCCACGCTCGGTGTGGAACCGCACCTTGCCGACAGGCTCATACAATCGAATTGTTCTGGTTCCTGTGAAATCCCCAGAAAGGCTGTTGCACTTCCAGGTCGGAACCAATGCCAATCCAAAGGGCTCATCTGATGTCAGAGGTCTAAGCCAACAGCTTGCCGCAGAGCTTGACCCTGCCAATTGTAGTTCAATCCATTCCCGCACAATATGACACCTTCCCAGTGATATAGCTTCGTCACTGAATTTGCAGGCCACAGGATACCCTCCCAGGGGTCGCGTACCTGTGGCGGGCGAGCCACGTGGCGGCCATAAGCTGGATCGCTAGTGGAACTTCGGGCTTCGATGAAAGTGTGGCGGCGGGGGCCATTTTAGGAAACTCTGTTTTGGTCGAGTTGTGATGCGAGTGTTTGAAGTCATGCTTGCTGGGTTCTCTGAATCTTGGAACAGACAAGATCCTAGCGAGGTCATCACGACGAGTTCAACTTGGACCTTGCTCCTGGAGAGGTTGGAACCATGGTTTCGCTCTGCAGTGGTGACCTGAAGTCGACACCCTGTTGTCCTGGTCTTCAGAATCCTCTACGGAACTCTGAGAAGAAACATTCACAACCCCGCTGCAAACTCTTACAGAACCCGTGTACCTTCATAGGTATTTTTCTGGCAACCCTAATAGGAATTCGTTAGCAACTCGGGCAGGAGCTTTTCTTGAGACCCTTATAGAAAGCCTGTGGTGGGCAGGTCTTTGAGAAGCGTATGCCCTACGCCTTCGCCGAGTTCTTTGGCAGCTTCGAGGAGACTGGCGCTGTCCTCTACCCACCGCCACAATGCTACAAGTACTACGAGAACAAGGCTTCAGGGGTTTGGGTGTCTAGGGGTTTAGGCTGGGTTTGGGGTGGAAGTGATGTCTCTTTTGCCAGTGTTATCAAGCTTTGCTCGAGCTATCGAGACTGAGTTGCCACTGGGCTTTGTGCGGCTCGAGGCTTTCTCTGAGGACCTCGATGGGACCAGCTAATCTCAGAGCTGCTGTCAAGAGAGTCGAGTTTCCATCCGTTCTTCCGCTCGCGCACGACTCCCAGCAGACGACTCCAAGCTCCTAACTCCCACCACCAAAGCCACCAACCCTGCCTGCCGAGAAGAATCAGTTTTATCCCTTTAGCAGCCGTAGCACCGAGTCAGTTGTGTGACTAACTACCGAGTAGTGATCTGGACAAGCTTTCAGGAAAGAAGCACACGGAACGATCCTCACCTCCAACCCGTACTTACTCTCGCTCAAGATTGGCTGTAATGGCAGCAATAGCAGTACAAGCAGTAGAGGTACAGTAGAGGTGGTGAGAACCAGTAGGCCAGAGTAATAGCAACAGCAACTCTGACAACAGCAGCATGATTGCCGGCATCAATCTTGGTCTCAACGACACCAATAAAGCAAAAACCTTGAGGCCACATTATCAGGGACGATAGAGGGGAGTAGCGACGATTGTGTGATATTAGCTGTAGGAATACGGTGTGAACGGTAACAGAGCTAGCTCTTCTTTGCCTTTCGTGCAGCTGTCGGCGGCCAGGTCGCTCTCACAAAGCTCTTCCAGGATGCCAATGTGCAGATGCCTTTGACTTGGGTGTCTCGGTCGCATCCACTTTCCAAAATCCGAGTTGCAAGGAGCTCCGTCGCAGTGGCCTGATACGGTAAATCAAAATTGAAATACGCTCAGGGTCTGTAGCTACAACGCAGCAATGACAGAATTGACGGAATCGAGCCAAACGATGAGTTGGTTGAATGTCATTTTGTGATTCTTCACGTCATAACATTTCTTATATCCGACAAGCTTGGCCAGTCGCTTGACGGATAATTCTTGCCCATCAAGTCTCATTGTCTTTGCATGACGGTTTGATATGTCGCATGCGAAGTGTGAACTTTTGATGGGGGGTGCTTGTTCGGCCATCGCCGAAACTGTTCGAGTTTTCTGACCCCGGTCACATTCGGATTCTGCAGGTGTTCCGCGACCTGTCGGACGCAATGGCTCGAAAAGAGGAAGTGCAGCTGCCGGTGGTGATCAAGGCAGTTTCTGTGTCTTAAGATTTGGTACCTTGCGGATGTCGAGTTTTTTGACAAAGTCGTCACCTGCCCTTCCGGAGAATATTGTGAGATTTCCTGCAGCGTCTGGGCTTCAATGGACGTTGTTGCCCACATGCTGGGTCACGTTTGCAGCACCAGAAGTTCGACATGTCACGCCGCCGTCTCCACATACACTGGCACCAACTCACCCGGGCCTCATTGAAATGCACGATCTTCGCACTTGCAGGATCCTTACGGCTACTCCAGCATTGGCTTGTGCGGCACTCAGATGTCTACTCCCGCCAAGTCATGAAGCATAGAAACGAAGCACATAGCCTCCTTGCTCTGCGTGGCGATCTGCAGTTTGCGGGTGAGGTGCAGCCGGAACCGCCCCACGAAACCGCGAACTTTGATTTCTTACCGAAACGCCCAATGATTCGCGCCTACACGGGCTAGATCCTTGGAGGCCGAAACAAAACGAGCCCTGAGACCCCTAAGCTCTGAAGGACCTCCTCCTCCCCCCACTGGATGTCATGCAGTCCCGCGAGCTTTCCTCCTGCCGGAGGCTGCAGGCGGAGACGCCGTCCGAGCTGATGCAGGCCGGAGTCCAGCAGAGGCTAGAAGGCTTTGGGACTGTGGGACTTCGTGCTCGGGATGTGAACACTCCATCAGAGCATGAGAAGAAGAACATGCAATAGTGACCGACATGACGAAGCCAGTAACAAGTTTGAAATTGCACATCGTGATGCCCTTCCGTCCAGGCCTTGAAGGAATTCTTCTCCAAGGCAAGCCCCTTGCTTGTTGGGGATGTATGGGACTTGCATTGAGTGCAGGTGCCGGTGCGGATTCCCGAAACGTTCTGGCGAAAGCCGTGGTGCAGGATTCAGTACACCACACGCTACTTGGGAGTGGTGCGGCTGTATTTACATTCACTGCTTGAGTTTGTACAAGTCACCACGCCCTGGAACGACGGAGCGGCAGCAAATTCAAGTACAAAGAGAGCCCGAAGTAGCTCCGCACACACACACACACAAACACACACACACACACACACACATGCGCGTGCATGCACGGAACGGATCAACAGAGCAACTTTCTTGCAACAAGCACCACGCAAAGCGCCTTTACAGCCCGGCCCGTCGTGCTCAACGCAGGCCAAGCCCGGAGTGGAGGCCCTGGTGCAAAAGAAGGTCCAGGCGCTCCGCGAGGCCACAGAGACTCACAGGGACTTTCTAGGCTGATGTACAGACATCTAACTCGTCGTGCGATTCTGGAGCACTGCCAAAAACCGCTCCGAAAACACAGGTTTTCAAGAGGTGGTTGTCCCAGACATGCACACTGAGAACTTTTGCGCGCCTCTTCCGAATCCTTGACCGTGAAGCTGTGGTTGACACCATCCGAGCCTATGTTGTATCAGTAATTAACTGAAGAAATGGAAAAAGCAAGATAGTCTAAGATCTCACCGGCTTGTCTTTACCCTGCGAGGCCTTCATGACTCGCCCTGAACAGGCCCGCGTCACCTACGTGGATGGCCGCCCTTTTCATGGCTACTGGCGCATCCGGCCACTCGGAACAGCTCAGCTCAGGCAGCTCAGGTTCTAGACCCCCAAAACTCTAAGCCCTGTCTGTTGCCTTGAACCCTCGAATTGAACTGGGAAGTCCTCGAGGGGCTACTCAACTGTCGGCAGCGGCGCCGCACGAGGCAAAGCCTGAAAAGCGCATCAGCAGCTTCCACGCGAGGGGGCTACCAGGCCCTTCAGTGTCAGAGGGAGCATGGGATGGCGCTTGCTCGTTTGGGCTTCCCGCTCCTTCACTATTGCTTCATGCGGGCTTGCCTGCGGAATGTAGTGTATGCAGCTGATGTGTGTCGATGCAGTCAGGGTGACCGTTTTGCTCGCAAGGACTTCAATTTCCCCCTCTCGAAGTTGGCACCCTTCGTGGCGAGCTTCGCCAACAAGACCGGGATCCCAGTCGGAGGCGTCCGCACTTGCAAAGCTCCCGCATGCTCTATGTCAGTCTAACATAAGGGCCCAAATGATTGCCTATACTATTGTAGCGGTTCCTTATTATGTTTGTAGTATAGTGGACCCCAAAACCAATATTCTAAATGTTCAATGACGGTGTTCATGGTATCTCAAGGGCGCACAGGCCCATGATGCTAGGCCTGAGGGAAGTGAGGATTGCCCTGAGCCCCAAACCAGATACAGCTTGTGGGTGTCTCGGTGATGCCTTTCTGACACTTGAAGCCAGAGTTCTTAGAGCCCGCTTACATATAAATTCCTCTCGTGTTACCCAAGAGTGCATTTTGTCGGTTGTGATTGCGAGTAGTTGTGTCTCCACACGGTGATTACGAATGTTCGGCATGTGAGCGCTTTCGTTTTTGCAACAGCGTGTGTATGCATATATATATATATATTTATTTATTTATTTGTTTATTTATTTATTTATGTGTATATATATACACATACATACATACATATATATATATACAAATATATACAAATATACATATATATATATATATATGTATATCGATACGGTGCAGTTCCCTGTTGTTCGAAGAGAGGTATGGAGTCTTGCGTGTTGCTAGGTCGTGGCAGGTCATTGTTGAGAACGGACTCTCTGAGAGCCAACCGCTTAAGATGCACGAGAATTGATTATTCGGTTAATAGACCTTCTCAAAGTGCTTTGTTCGATGAATTCAGACATCTTAGATCAAGACACATAGGCCGGCCATGTCGGAGGCGTGGACCTCATCTGGCAGGAGAAAGATCCCGACCTGCACAAGGAGCCCTTTACGTTGGAGGCAGCGGCAGTTTGCAAGACTGCAGGGTCAAGAAGGGGCAGAGCTGCAGCGTGTCAGTGATCCAGCAACTCAGGAGGCTGCTTAATTCAGTGCAGTGCAGTCATCACCTCAAGAAACTGCAGCACATAGGGAAGGATTCTTGCATGACTGTGTTGCTGCACTGGGTGAATGGCAAAGAACTACAGACACTCCAAGCGGCTCTAGAATACATGCACTGGTTGGAAAGGCTAAGAGCGGTAAGGCAGTGAGCTGAAGCGTCGCGGCAACAGGTCTCGCCGACAAGCGACATCAACCCGCCCAGCCCGCCGGACTGGAATGAGGGCTACGCGGAGTTCAAGCACACCAAGGCCACAGCCCCGTTGCGACGGCTGCCAGAGGCTTCTGGATCCTTTTTTCTAGGGCCGCTTGCCCACCTCGACTTCAATCTACAGTGCATAAACAACGGGGGAATCGAGCTCCCGGGACAATCCGTAAAACGAATTTTCAAGAAAGTGTGTCTCGAAGGTTGGTGCATCAAGTCCTTGGGACCTGCCCTGCAGTCTTTCTAGCAAGTCCGTTCCGGACGGCAGCTACCACATTCCGCACATGGTCCGTACGAACTCTTAAACCTCGAAACACCGACTGCATGATTGGCAACCCTCCCGAGTATTGATGTAATTATTGCTGCCGGTGCTCTCGGCACTCTCGGACGGACCCACATCATCGACGCCTGAGGTGACGTGACCAAACACGGGCTGTGTTTTGTTATCAGCTGTGGACCTAAGTTGCATAGTGCATTCCCTCGACTACATGCTACAGGGCCTGGTTAATTACAGGCATGAGAATGTGTGGGTGCCCTCGTTGCTGTGTGGCTGCAGGGCTTCCGCAATGCCTACATCGGCATCCGCCAGAGGCTCGGAGATCTGCGTCGTGGCCAAACAGTTGACGTGTATGCGATGAGCACAGCTGAGAGATGACTCTTCGTGCTCCGACCGGTGCGTATTGCATTTTGGCACAGTCCTGACCTGGGGACTTTGCTACATGTCATGGCGTCAGAAGAAGAGACGGGTGAATCCCAGGCCGCAAATGGGCTGAAGCGATGGCCTTGTCGGCCGCCGGGAAAAAACTTAGTCTGCTGTTAGGCGAGGCTTGGAAGGCCAATAAAAAAGGGACTTGAATAATTACTAATACCATACTAATGCCATTGTGGGGTTCCTTATCATATCTATAGTATAGTAGAATATACGCCCCCAAAACCCTATTCTAACTTTTGAGGCACCCATATTAGTCTGCTCTTAGGCGAGGCTTGGAAGGCCAATAGTCATTTAGCCCAAGGCCTACGTTGGAATGCTTGAGATGCTTGGCCACCAGTCAACAGGAGGTGGTTTTAACTGATTGGAACGGTTTATTGGCATTGGCCCAAGAACCATGACATGCAGATTCATGGCATTTTCTCAAGAAGATCGTATCAAGGCATGCTTCTGTTGCAGTATCAGCAATCAAGGATCAGTCGCATTCAGGTCGCTGATAGATAGCTACTAGCTCTTGGCTGTTGGATTGTGCTTTTTGCATATCGTGATGAATGCTTCATGGAGCATCGCCGATCTAAACCCCTAAGGCTTGATGCATGCTCCACTATAAGGAACCTCATTCAAACTTAATGGTTTCACTGTCAAGCCAAATGCATTCTCTGGTAAGAGATGTTTGGCTATGCTGGATGCGGATTGAGTTGGTCCTCTGTACAAAGCCATATGACTGAAATCTGCATGGTGGCCAGGAACGTAGTTCAAACGAAGTCATCATGTGCATCTACTGATATTTGAAGCCCTGCCCCTACCGTGCATGGGCAATTCTCGTGCGGTCGAAAGAACTCCTAAGGGGCAAGGTTTGCGCACACGCAAGCAAAGAGTCCTTATCGTCATGCTGCCTCGGCAAACTAACTTACTTTTGGTATTCTCGTATCACACAGCCGCGAATGCTTTCCAGTCAGGTTGTGGATCGGCAAGCTCGGCACTGCTTATCGACTGGCAGTGCCGTGAAGTTCAGATGAAATCGCTGCGAAATCGGAGACTGCAACAGCTCATTCAGAGGCCTCATGTCCTCTGGCACAGCCAGGCATCGACGGAGCAAGCGACATCTGTTCATCGGCACGCGCCTCAGCTAGCTTGACATCAGTATGCCTGCCATCACCCACCCCTCCCCGAGCGAAGCAGCATCAAAACTGAAGGCCGATTTTTCTGACACATCTGTGCCCGGTGGGCCATGTGCACTCATAGTCGTGACGTCGTGGATGGCAGCAACACAAGAACCAAAAGGGGTGCCGAACATGACGAGAAGAGCTCGACCAGGCATGCCGGCCCTGTGGCATGGCAATGGCGCAGACGAGGTGGCCAGAGCTGAGCAGACCCTCCTGCAATCTGTTCTCACAATCTCGGAACCCGAGAGCACACATACTGTACCCTTCTGATGGTTCCCTAAGCACTTTTCATGATGAAGTTCCGGTCCGGGGTGAGTTGGCCGATACAACACCACGTTCGCACCGAACGTGGGGTCCGTTACGATGTCCAGAAATCTGGCACCACATCCCCTTGCCCAGATCCTGAATGCACTGACGTTTTAATGACCGTGACAACTCTCTTCTGCAAACTACAGAGATACCTTTCACAGAACCAGGTCGATCGCAACGAGTCCTTGTTGCGTAGGCCCTTTATAGGTTTTTCGCGACGTATGACTGCTTCGGCTGTGCAGGCAGGTGAACATGCTCATTTTGAGTCACGATTTTCCCGTCCTATCCGCACTCGTCTAACAACAGAGTTGTTAGAAGAACGGCACCACTCGGGGCGCGCTTCGATGATCCCACTTCTCAGGTCGCCTTGGCGCCGCTAGCTGTATCTGCGCTTCAACAGCTGCGGAGGAGATCAACGGGGGCAGGGGGGGAATTGCCAGGTAGTTTCTCGGCCTTGTTGTCTCGCGTCCCGCTGCCGCCGATAGTGGCGTGCTTTCGAGCAGCAGTGGTCTGAAGATTTCACGCAGGTTTGAGGTCTGCGGGGCTCTCGCATATTATCATGCGAGGTGGGCTTATTTCCCTGTTCACCCCCCGTAGCATGGCGAGGAATTTCGAAGTTTCAGAGCTCATCCATTGGGAGTCTCCGTCACTCTTGATCGCCGTCATCGGCCTATAGTTGCAGCAAATTGGTTTGGACATCTCTGGACTTCCAAGACGACGACTACTACATACTGCTACTACTACTATTGCTATTGCTAAGATACTACTGAGTTTCTACGACTACATTACTACTACCACTACTTGGAGCTGCAAGGAGCTTCTTCATTCGCATCCTTGCGGTGCCTGAAGACCTAGCCCAGGACTGCCATTTGAGCCTGCTATAGGGGCCTTAATAGTTACCAAGATGTGCTCCGAATAATATAGTGCTAAAATAAGTATAAGGGATCTATAAGGAAAGTATAATGTAATATAGGGGCTTAATAGTTACCAATTCTTTTTTGGGGGTTCCTTATTGTACCTTATTATAATTATTGTAGGACGGGACATTCTGATTGTTAAGGCCCCTATATCAGGACCGGAAACTCGGCCACAATGCATTCTGACATTCGCTGGGAAGTCTCAGTCCACGTTAGGATTCAGGACCTCAGACTCGAAATGCAGGACCCACTGAACTCGACATTACACCTGCTTGCCTCCGCCGGAGTTGAGTACGATGCCCGAGCCTTTGCGACTGGCGTCATGCCTTAGGTCCAGTACTGGCCAGACGTCTAGTAGATTCTGTTGAGCCCTGATCTTGAAGTACTTGAGACACAGACATGTGATATTCATTATTATTACTCTTACTCTTACTATGACTGGCACCATTACTTTTGTTTTTATCATTACGTGCTATCACTAATCTTGATACTAAACGCATTGCAAGGATGTGACGCTGCTGAGAAGTACCGAGCAGAGGCCGGTCGTGCACTCGGGTTGCCAGGTCGTCATCGTAAGCTTCTTTGAGGGCTCTTCAAAGGGGGATGCTCTGGGATTTAAGGCGGGTTCTTAAGTCTTTTGGGACCGTTGAGGCGTTTTAAGGAGTGGTTCGGCGTGGAGCTTCGGAGTCTGTGGACTTTGCTGTCAAGATGGAGCTGTTGGTACTGGGAAGGTTGACCCCGAAGTGTCCCATTTGCAGATCATGTCCATAGAGCAATGATAGCAGACCATTCGCCTGCCGCTCCCGTTTTCCCCCTGGTGCCAGGAGCCACTATGTTGGCAAAGAAGCTTTACTTCTCGACATCTTGGATGTCAAGGGTGCCAGTGCCCTCCAGGCTGCCCGTGGCTTCGAATCTTTTCGTGGGGCAGATCTCCGAGTTCACGGGGATAACCTCACATCACCTGTTCACCCTAGTTGAAGAGCACGGCCCGGGGAGGAACGTGGCGTGCGAGTCATAAACTTGCTGGAGCACGGCTGGGATCAGGCCCCGGATGCACATGCCACGTGTTTTGTTGTCAAGACTGCGGCGAAGCCAGTACCTGTGTGGCTTGACTTTTCTGGAACTTTACAGCTGGGTTCCTTCCTGTCCTGATGTAGTGGTTTTGGGACTGGGACATTCTGCCGTGGCCTTGCCCAGTCACGGCGGTGGTAGACTTGAACAACAGAGCTTTGGGAGTCCGGAGCCCTTGGAGCTAGCAGAAACGCAGAAGAGCTGAACACGGTTATCATGAGCCCATCTCCGGCCAGGTTTGGGATTTGGCCAACGTGCTTTGAGGGGAGGATCGCCCTTGCCTTGCTGTTCATGACGGATGACCGCAGCCCCTGTGAAAAGCACCCTCCTTTTTTTTCTGAAGCCCTCTCTGCATTCTCCAGCTCGTTGCAGGAAGTCGTTACAGCTGCCGTCGCTGTCATCATCGTCGAAGCCGACGAGCCGGCGTATGGCACCTGCCATCGATTCGCTAGCAACAAAAGGGGCCTCGTATTGCTCAGACCTATTTCTTCTCACCTTCCCACTGAACTCTTTTTCAGTCAGTCTATGAACAGCTTCTTGGGCAGGTGTGAGTTGGAAACAAAACTTGGTTGGAAAAGTCCCAGCCTCATGCCATCATCACTTGCTGCAGCAGAGTTCGCAATCGGCTCGCATGATGTGCTGCATCCTCAACTTCCTTTTAGTCCACTGCGAGTGAAGGCATCCTTCAACGAATTGTCCTGACAATTGTCGGGACATGCAGGTCGCATGCAATACACAGTGTCCGAGCACAAGCCAAACTAGCTGTAGCTGGCTTGTATCACCATTACAGGTTCACTTTACAAGCACATCTCCTGTTTGTCCATGATGATGTTTCTCCCACAGGGTTCCTCGGCAACTCATGCCTGCGGAACCTGCAACCCATTGGCGCCGCACGGTCCCGCAGGCATCCCCAGAGACCTTCCTGCAGCGAGATTGGCATCGGCTGGGCGACATCCATTGTTGGAAAGGGCTGCCGCAGGTGTCGGTTTCGCTCTGATGACCGTCCTTTGCGGCAAAAGCACAAAGCCAAGACCGGCGGTGCGTCGGTTCGCTTGCGCTGGCACGAATCTGGATGCACTGGGAGCCCTGCACCCCGTCCTGGCCGCATCGGTCAAGAGGTCTTTAGAGGACATGCCGGATGCTGACTTGCTGTTCATCGGACCGAAAGAGGAGATCGGAGGAGTGAAGGGAACTGTAGGGAATGATCTGAGAAGTTTGCGGCAGTGCGAGCCGGACAGCTACGACTTCATCGTCGAGGCCAGGTCTGAAGAAGTCCTCGCAGGCGGATGGGAAGCGCGGCAAAACCGCTTTTATCCTCTTGGCGGACATGAGTTCAGTCTATCTAATGATTTTATCATCAATTTGGCCTCGATCGCGAAGGTGCTCCGCAAAGGTGGGAAGTTTTGGTTTCTCACGTGTGCGTCCGGCCAAGACGAAGTCTTGCCATTCTCATTTTTGGCCCTGCCACATTTGGACTGGCAGGCTGAGGTGTTTCCGGACACTGCAAGTGGAGTGTCTGCTGTGTGCTGTACTCTGAACAGTGACGCTTCTGAAGACACCCTTCGCAAAACTCCAGTCGTTGTTGCTCAAGAGTGCCTCAAAGAGATGTCCAGGAGACGATACTTTGACGCCTTGAGGCCGTACCTTCAGAGCAGGGATGGCGTGCCGCTACGTTTGCTGGATTTTGGCTGCGGCGACGGATCGTTGATGTCCTGGGCATTTGACCCGCAAGTTCTGTCTGAAGATGGGCCGCGTCAAATTACCTTGGTGGAGTCCAATCCCGAGCTTGCCCAAAGAGCTCGTGCACGTCTGGATTCTGTTGACGTGTTCGTAGTCGAGGACAATGCTCCTTGGCCATTCGAGGATGGTCAGTTCGATGTGGTGGTGTTGGCATTCGTACTGCATCATGTGCCAGTGCCGGATCGGACAGGGCTACTGGCTGAAGCGGCGCGTGTGGGCTGTGAGATTCTCGTTTTGGAGGATCTGCCAGATTCCGCTGGAACTCCTTCTGCCCAACGTCTGGCTTGGCATGTAACCCAGGAGCACTTCAGACCTTTCGGACAAGATCCCGATGACTACATGTCCGGGGTTCTTTCCGACGAGAAGTGGCGAGAGTTTTTCGGGCAGGTCGGCCTGGAAGTTCTGGAGGATGCCCCCATCTCCCAAACATTGCGGTACCCAGTGCCACACATGTTGTACCGACTGCGACCTGCAAGTTGACACCCAGCGCACCCCATCGGTTCTGCTTGTCTCAGGAAGTAGTTCACTGTTTCAGTATTTTTTCATTGCTTTCTCAACATG